CTTTCAAGGTGTCCCCCAATATCATGTTATATATGCTGCGTAAATTGTGTGAATTATAGTTTTGTTTGAAATGATTTATTTGGATTATCTTTAACCTCCTTCCTGCCTATAAATTTTCATAATTAATATGCACAATTTAAAAAACCAAAACTCATCTTTCAAAACCATTAATTAGAAAATGGGTACACTAAGCTGCAAGTTGAATATTATGCACTATCCCAATACGCTAATGTAAATACCTAGAGTTATACTTCTTTGCAAAGTATCTACCTCTCCAGGAATGAACCTTGCAGAGGCCCCTCCTTATCACACGATTGGATACTTCTTGACTTTCCTATGCAGGATGGAGTCCAGACAGCTGTCACTTAGTTTACTTGTGATAGACAATATAATGTTTTAATATAAATTTCATTTTCAAGAAAGTCGTATTATCATGTGAGTTAAAATTTTGTTGACATGAAAAAGCATGATTGTGATTTCTTTATGATCATTTTCAAAAGTGACAGGGGAAATTATGTATTTTATATACAAAGTTTTTAAAATCTTTTATAATTTCTAGGCCCCTAATAAGAGGGTAAAATTACCAACTTCTTTTTTAAATTATTTGTGATTTCTTCAAATATCGGGGAGGGGGGATGTATGTTTCCAAAAGGGCTTAAACTACTGTGAAATCTTCAGATAAGAAGGTTTTATATAATAGAAAGCACACAGGACAACTAATGCCATTAGCATTATCCATCTTTTCCTGATACCCCTAATAATCTCTTCTGTAAAAGAACATCTCATAAGATTTTAAGATTTAATTTTATTTAGGAATTCTTTCCTTATAGAAATTGATAAACTTAGTGTATTGTACACATTGAGCTTTTATTCTTCATATCCACTTAATGATTAACTCAGGTCTCAAATTTTCCTGAATTATTCAAACCCTAGTTTAGAATCTTTACAATAGCACAGATCATTTTCCTTATGACCCATGTGTCCAAAATTAACTGTGACCACTTGATACTAAGCTTGCCAGATCCTCCTTAATTTAAAAACAAAACAAAATAAAACTGCAATACAACATATAAAATAAACTTTACTGAAAAGTGCAGTTAGAAATATGATCACTGGTGAAAAGAGAGCTCCTAAACTATTTCTAAGGGTGAGATCTCTTACTTCCAGAGAATTCTAAAGCTCCCAGGATCCCAACTGAAGATGAGGGTGAGATCGTCACTAAAGTTTCAAACCAGATTAGAGTGGAGATAAATTCCACCAACGTTTGAAGTAGAATGACTGTAGTTGTTACTAGTTTCTGGTAAGACGTGTAATCATTTTGAAACATTCCAAACTACAAGAAGATCAGGTTTTATGTGTTTACATATTGGTGAGCACAATAATGTTTCCGGAAGATAATCTCTTTGCAGTTTATTTTACTGTGTGTTTGATAAGAATACTTTAAAAGGCCACAAAATGAAATTATTTCGCTAGTTTCTAGATTTTAATACTTTCATGTTAATTTACATTAAGAAACATGGATCTTTTTTTTTCAAAAAAATGGTTGAAAATGGTACATTTTTCTCTGCAATTAGGGCTTACATGAATTCAATATTTGTGATTATTAGGTAATACAAAGATGAGAAATTTACTGGAAAGTGCAATTAGCTTATAAAATATTAAGATGAAAATATGTTTAAAAAATAATACCAGTAAGTGGAAATCTAACACAACAGAAGTTCACATGTAGACTCGAAAGCATAGGCATACAAAATAAATTCTGGCATCAAGAGATAAAGCAATAGTAAAGCCTTCAAGAGATGAGGGCTACAAGGAAAAGAGCAACATACTAAAATCTAAAGAGAGAATATGAAAATGTTGTGTAGTAATAAGCAGAGCTCTTGTGGGCACTTAAATAGTTGTCATTTTACAAAGTCTTTACACACACACACACACACACACACACACACGATCACCCTAGCCCTAACTACAGGCCTCTGTTCTCCAGAGGTGAAGTCTTCCTTCCCTTCATTCTGCTAGTGCCTGTAGGAGGGTTCTTCACTATCCTATGTCATGCTTTTAAAGTGGCTCGAGGTCTCTAGATGCAGTGCACAGTACAAACACACACTCATGGATCCTGCCAGATCCAAGGCATGATGTCGGCATTATGTTTTCTCTCCTCCACAGATGCTGCAGTGTTTTCAAAACAGGGCAAGACAATCCTCTCCTTTCCTGATTTCCTGTGATGACCCAGCCCAATGGCGGCCAAAGAAGTCCAGCCTCTACATTGGAGTCGTGTCATAAGTGATATCTGATTATGGAATATTACAGTTTAAATTGTCTTTGTTTTATGTAAGAAAGAGAGAGGGTCCATTTCAAAAAGAGGGGGAAAAAAGTGAGTTGACACAACAGATTGTGACAGATTTATTACTATTTATCATCGTAAATATGTATCGAAGAAAACATGTGAATGTCTTTATCTAGTCATAATCACTCCAAAAGAAACCTTTTATTACCTTCAATCTTTTATTATCTAATATACGAATACTTGTACATATTAAAGCAAGTTTTATAAGTAATTCTTATTGGATAAATAGTCATAATTTTATTTGCGCCTAAAAGAATAAGCATGGCAGAGGTCTAAAAATATAGAAACAGAGAGCTACTGGGTTAAATGGGTTATGGTGTCTGTTATGGATATCTCTTTAGATCAAATTAAAATATAATTCTGTGCTGTGGTAAGGCACATGGATTTCATTATAAGTAATAAGCAATTAATATACAAAAATGCTAATATAAACAATTTAAATTGTTCTTAAAACAGAGTTGAGATTTTTTTAAGTAATAATCATAAATTGATGATTGGATTCTAAAATTACCCAAACTATCTTATTCTTCTTACTCAAAAAAACAAAACAAAACAGAAAAATAAGGACAAAATTTGTTTGTAATTGAACTTTTCTCCTCCTTGTTCTTAAAAAAGGCTTATTTACCAAAAATGTTCTATAAGGATAATTAAAACATTCAGCCAAGAAAAATTATCTAAGAAGAGTAAATTCTAAACTAACCATTAAAAGCTAAAAATTAAATAATAACAACTCAGTTTCCAATTCCTCAGTTTTTTTATTTATTATGAAGAAAGGAAAGATACTTTAAGATTTCTGAGCATATCACAACATACCAGCAACAAATAAATGACCTTAATAGCAAAGACAAAACTATAGCAGTAAAACTTTCTATAGCAGCCAGCCAGCTATAGGTAAATATTTTAAAATTTACAGAGAACTATGAGAAATTGTTGTTGACAACGATTAAGCATAAAGATAATATCTAATGTCACATCAATGTACTACTAAGAAATTACATAATTTCTTCATAATGTTAGCATTAGAAAAAACAAAATTAATTTCAATATGAGGCTTAAATAGAGTACTACAGCTTTAAATTTTTTTCATGGCTTTTATAGCAGAAACAGAGCTATTCTATCATTTCAGAACATTCAAAGTTCCGCTTATTGTATTTAATACTGTGCGTATTAAGTACAGGAATGTTTAAAATGTAAACAGTTGTGAGGACTACATCACTGGAAGTTGTCATAAAAGCTATTAAAATCTAAAGTTTAATCTAAATTAAAGCCAGCACTAACTTCAAGCTTAAAATATGCTTATAAAAACCCAAGGGAATATTAGTCAATTTCAATACAATGTAGAAATTCAAAGAATAAACTACTCAGCACATTTTTAAGTGACTTTTTGATAGTCCAAAATTTTATACGCTACTGGCAGTTTTACTTACACAATATTTTCATATGTTTATGAATAATTTTGTGATGCTTCTCCAATATTACCAAGCCTATGATAATCAGAATGCAAAATTTGTTTTTTGTTTTCTTTCTCCCGATAAGACTCATTCTGATACATTTGTATAATAATTTTCTGGATTGGGTGAACTAAAATCAAGTCAAATACACAGGTGTTTGGGTAATCTCAACTTAGCACATTTGCAAAACCCATTATTCTTCTATATTAACAAAAAAAAAGAAATAAAACTAATAGAGAAGCATCAAATTGGTAATATATTTTGGGAAACAAATATAATTTTATTTTGAAGTATAAAAACTTATAATAAGGTTCATTAGCATTCTTTTCAAAGAACACTAATACCTTGCAGAACACTGAATTAAATATATATATACATCTGACAGCAGAGAAAGACAGGAAACAAAGAAGGAAGGAAGGAAGAAGAAGCAAGGGAGGAAATCACATTTTTGTTCTATATAAGGAAAAAATTACTAGACATAGCTGAGCCCTAAAGAAAACTAAATAAAATTATCTAGGAACACAAATCTGAAAATATACATAAGAATTCAACATAAAGTATCATGCATTTAGCTGTGATCACAACCAACTTCTGCTATCTTGAGGGGAGGGGTGAGGAAACCTCAGTAACTCCAGCTATTAAAAAGACCCAGAATGCTTTTGGTTACAGCTGGATTCTTCTAGTTGCCACCAGGTATTAAAGACACTAACAGCTACTGATGCAGCTACCTTTGCAGCTTTTATTCAGCAACCTCTCTAGAAAATAGAGATATTCGCCCAGCACTCTGGACTGAAACCCATGTAAATTTTTCCTAAATCCTCTTCACAAATCTCCTTTCGCATGCAAATCCATAAAATCATCATAATACTGACAAAGAATTTAACCAACACATGAAACTAATACTCATTCTCTAGAAAGCCCTGTACAGGTACAACTCCTCGAACTTCAGGCACCTTTTCAAGGCTCTCTTCAGAGTTTAACCTGCTGAATATCAACATAACCACCCAGTTTTCCAGGATGTGCAATTAATTACTCCAAGATGGGACATGTGGCTGGGCATGCAAGTTATTCCTACCTCACCCACATCCTAGATAAACGCGCTGCTCTGGGAGCCGGGAACCTCATTTACTCTTATCTCCTTTGCATCAATACGAAACAGAACAAAATAAACAACATACAAAGCAGAAACAAGCAGTACTTACTGAAGAGGGCAAACCTGGAGGAACTTTTCGAACTTTCTTTGTCTGTACCTCTGAAAGAAAAGGAAGCACTCTGTAAGCTCATCACATGCCCATTTTTCTAACAAAAATGCTTGAAACCACGAAGCCATTTAGATTAGAATGGAGTTTTTTTTTTTTTAAACATCACTACCTTAGCAAAATGTAGTCACCACTATCTCCTTTTTTCTGGCAGAAATCAAATACTGCTTTGTTAAATAAGATGCCTTCAACTTTTTTAATGACTTGTTTTTTTGGTTGTTTGTTTTTAAGTTTCCTTATGAATCTACACACAGAAACAGTTCTCCTACTACTATAAGGTGTAACCTATTCCTACAGGGTACTAGTGGGGGGTGTCACCAGCTTGACAACTGATCAAAATTTTATGGGTTTTTTAGGGGGAGGTAACAGTGGGGGGAGAGGGTGGCATTAATAAAAAGGAAAAGAAAAAGCCTAACAGTAGTCACTCAGACATTCAAACAGGGACTCCTTTACTCACCCATGGCACTACTGTGAAGAGGCCTCCTTCGGGGGTTATTGCTAGAATACTGATAGTACTGGGAACCAGGCTTGGTGGGCGAAAGGGTTCCTGGGTTGCCCATATCCATGTCACCTCCAAGGAGACTCTGCTAAAAGGTCAAAAAGGGAAAACAAACATATTTGGTTCATTTTTTTTGTAACACCACCCACCTGATTGTTAGTACTTAAACCAATGCAATAAAGAAAACAGCATCTGCTAAAGGGAAACAATTAAAACAAAAAAGAAAGGAAGAAAAAGCAGTCTAAGAAGCTATGTCAAAGGTTCTGAATTTTTAATTCTTTAAAATTCTTTTGTGAGTGTTAGATCCCTTTAAACAATATTTAAACAAATTTTTTTCAGAGGACTAACATTTTCATTTGACAAGCGAATGGCATTTACATAAGCCTAGTGTTTTCTTTATCGAGATGCAGACTCATATCTGTGAACAACTCCTGCCCTTCCTTAGCTAGACCCAGGAAGAATCTCATTTTTCGAGCACACAAAACTTCCCGGCTGATCCCATTGGGGGTGAGGGTGGATGCAGCCATTCCACTGAGCTGAGAACTCTGCTTCTGCACCGGTACAGCGTGATCCTCCACGAATGTACCAGAAGATAAAATGCCAGCTGAACCGAGAGAAATGCAAATGTTCACGTTAACTTCCAAAATTTTAGGAATAGCAGGCATTCTAAGCTAACAGGCACAGATTCAAGGACTTCAGAATACCCTCTTGAGGACTATCGGAAGCTAAAATACATCCCCCCACAGATTAAACATTTCCCTGAACCCTAGAAAACTTCCACAAATATCATTAACTTATTACCGTGTGTCAAATTACTAAACTTCCAAATATGATGACAAAAGAAAGATTATACAATAATATTACATTCTCTAAAAGCTACATAGAAACTTACCCATAATATATAAATCGCCTGATTATACTCTGCTTTGAACACATTGTTCTTTTAATTATTCTGATATGTAATAGAACAAGTGTAGATACTACCATTTATATTAAGAACAAATTTACTATTTAATAAAGAAATTTTAAAATTAAGTAGTAAAAATCTAACTTTATCGTTACTTGTAATCAACTTTTACTGACTGAACTAATTACTGTCCTTGATAAAGTACAGAATGTGTTTTCCCTAATCTAAATTCTAATCACCATGTCACTCACAACAGACTTAGGGATGCTTCACTAACACACTATTCACATGCAAAATACTCTAAATAGGCCAATTATGACTCTGCCCCTGTTCCCTGGTTAACCCGCTGAGAACTGAAAAATTTCACAAGGCAGTCACCAACTAAAACAAAGGGTCCTTGTTTTAAATTAAGACAGTCTTTTTGATTCCTAAATAGCTCAACAAAGTGGCATGTCTTCTGGTGAAAGCAGTTGGTCAAATATGACCCATAAGCTGGAAAATCAAAAATGAAAACCTCCCCTTTCCATCGCCATATAGCTAAATATCATAAAGGAAACCTCTCAATTCTACGGGATTTTTGTGAGTGCTGGATGAGTAATATATAAAAGAACTAATCAGCTACTGACAAACTCGCCTTCACTGATTCCTACTTTAAGATTTTTTCAAGGGATACATAATAAACAGTACTTTAAAATAAAACTTCAAAGGTGTGATTCTAGGTCGACAGCATATTTTGGGCAATAAACTCATTGCTAGTATCTTAGTATTTACCACATAGCTGATAAAAACCTGGCATCTCTATACTCAACCACTGCCTCTTCAGAACTTAACAAAGCTATCAAAATACCACACAATGACAAACTGAAATACAGAGTCCTCTATAATAAAGTTTTCCATAAATCAGGAACCCAGCAGCATAACATCAAACGATTTCTTTAGCATTTTAGGAGTCGTGTTGAAAAACTTTTAAATCTCAATCTAAAATTTCACTCTTGGTAATTCTTAGTAATAAAGTCTGTATTCTTTAAGTCCAAGTTTTCTTTGAAATTTCCATACAAAAGATGTGAGTTATTTCAAACCACAACTTCTCTACGAGTTTGGTAAATCTACAAACGAGTCTTCAATTCACGTGAAAGAGGAGTTTGTAAATGGTATTATTAAGAACTTTGTATTCTACAGAGATAGTATCCTTATTTCTCAATTTCTTTCTTTTTAAAAAATATATATAAAATATTCAGAAAAGGACAGAGCAAATATATTAAAATGCTTGCTTGTCTTTTTAATGAGCTTAACCAAGGGTTAATTCTTGTTGGTCCTGGTGGCAAAGATTTTCACTCCCAAGAAAGTAGATGTAGTCAGTAGGTTTACACAGAAACAAACATGCTTGCTATATCGTGTTTTTGCAGCATTCACAATAGAGCTGTTAAAAATATATATGAAATGGTAACTAGAAGATAGCTAACTGGCTGTGGCTGACCTTATGGTTGTTAATCTAAGAGAAAATCATTTCATGGGACAGCTGTAAATAAATCATGCATCTAACTCATATATGTTCAGTCACATGAACTCTGTACAGTCACACAGTACTAAGATCAGATAGCACGTACAGGCATTTACTGACTCCTGCTAATCTTTTTTTTCTTACAAAGCACATTCCTGTTTCTCTTTTTTAGACCTGTTTGTTCCTTTTTCTTTTTCACTAGGACAATAGAATCGTTCTTCTAATGCAACAAAAATAAGCATTTCCTCACACTTAAAGGGGCCCTAATCACCCTACTAGGGAAAATGAAGATAAAAATATATGTGTTCTCATTGTTGAGTACACTTGTAGAATGAACAATGACCATTTACTATTGTTTGGCTTTTACGTCACATACTGAACTCTCTGTAGCAGTGAGAAAAATAAAGTATTTTCCACTGGCTGACAAATCTAAGTCTGTGAATTTAGAAAAGTTAAAGGCCTTCAATTTAATACTGCACAAAACGGATAAGGCATTCATTTATATAATGAATTTACCTACATGTATATATAGCTCTGAAGACACACTGATTGATGCTCAATAAAAGTGAAGTTTGAAAGTTAAGTCTACTTTCAGAATGGGCAAAGGCATCCTTGCCTGAAATAGGATTATAATGGTTTTAGGGTTTTCACATTGTGCAAATTCATGCTCTGCGGTTATGCCGGTCCCAGCAGTAAGCGGCTGGAGTCGGCCAGGAAACACTGGAAACAAGATGTGGCATTTCGCAGAGCTAACCTGTAAATCTTAAACCCAGAGTTTAGCATTTTGCTTAACTGTCTGCAGTGTGATGAGATGCGTTCTTCCCCTTACTCACTCCTTATTTTCTTTGAAGGGGAAACAATTTCAAGACTTACAATACCCTAACCAAAGAGGTGCACATGTTGACTTTGTCAACCGGGGTTAAAAGTATTGGGGTTCCTCCCTTTCATGGAACCAATTCTCCCACAAAGACCTAGTCCTGCTATAGCCACTCAAGTGCCAAATGCAGGCATTCCGGGAGCGTCTCTTTCCATGAAGATTTTTGTTTATTTTTCATCAAATCTGGGTCTCAGACTGTCTTTCTACCACTTTCTCGACCCTGCCCCCATTCCTTGAGGGGGGGGAGCTTTAAAAACCCTTGATCAACCACTGAACTCTGCTCCCGCAACCAAGAATGCAAAACCAGGAATTAAACTTGAGTAACAAAAAAGCAGCATATATCTCAAATTAGATTTATAACGGAATGGTCATCAAAAATAGAACTAACTGCTTCGAGCTTAAATTATCAACTTTTTTCTTGTTAAACTAAAATCATCTTGCTTAGAACTATTATTTCATTTCAGTCAGCACTTTAAATGTAATGGGTGGGTGGTACATTTCTAAAAAGAAGATTATATTTACCCTTAATTACAGATATGAGTGAGATCAGAGTACGATGAATGCTGCTTTTTTGGCTTATAATTAATTCATCTAATAGGTGAATGACCTTGAATTTCAGGGTTGGAACCTGGGAAAGGAAAAAAAAGGAGTAGAAGGAAAAAATCCCTGGGGAAAACCAAATGTGTCCCAGGTTTGTTAGGGCTGTCTCTGATTTTGCGTCACCCCCATTACGTTGTGATCCAATATCAGACACAACATCTTGGGGGATGTTGTAGAACAGAGAAAAGCAGTCTCAGATGAAACCAGATTAAGCTCCTTTTCTGAACTATTGCCAAATGCTTGTGAGCCTAATTCATGTTTGGGTATTCTAGTACTCACACAGCTGCAATTCCATTCTTTCATCACAAACCTAAGTGATGTATAGTGGCTTTGTATGGCAAACTGACTCCATAAAGCCAGGAATTTTGGGAGGCTTTACATTAATATGGAATTAAATTCTGAACCACTATAAAACCTATGAATGCCAGATATACGTGTAGGTGTCTAACAGACTTCGCAGTGTTAAGGGCAAAAATACGCACTCACAAAAACTGCAAATCAGATTTGTTTAAAGCACTTTTTATCACAGCGGAGGTCATTTCTACAGAGGTAATTCTGCACAGAATCAACTTTTCAAAAACACTGCTGAATAAGATTCCTAACAGCCATGGGGAAGTTTTTGCAAATCCCTATCGAATAGCTGCTGCTGAATTTGCCATTTTGACCACAGAAGGGCCATTGCTGACTTTCTACAGTAGCAGGAGGGGGTGATAATTTTGCTGCTGTTGGCACTTACTCTGCAATCTAGAATATATCTCACACCAAAGGGCAATGAAGAACACAGTATTTCCACCTGTCCACTTTTGAACTTCAACGCTCAACACTGAAGGTCAGTTTTGGACAGTTTTTATTCCTGATACCTAAAGGTCTAGGGATACACCTTCATTTATTTTTATTTCTGTCCTATGCTTGTACTCTTGGTTTCAACAAAAGAAAACTCGGGAAACTGGGAAATACAAGATGGCAAGGATAACTTTCATGACCAGGGACCCAGATTGCTATCATGCTGCAGAAAAGTACAAATTATCAAAATTATCATTTAGCAAACATTTCAAAGGCTTTTGGTCAATGTTTTTTATTTCCACTTTAAATGTTTAATGCATATTGGTTTGTAAAAAGTCAGCAGTAAATGTCAGACATATTAAAGAAAGAGGGAGGGGTTTATGGTCAGTCAGATCATCTTGAACGCCGAGACACATAACG